AACTATTTATTTCCAGTTTACACACTGCCAAGTCTAGATTGTTTTTCAGACGAGAGAAATTTTTCACTGAAAATTTTTGTATCAAATATAAAGGAGAGATATTCATTTTTTAAATAAAACTTCGTTGATATATTTTCATCGAAACAATCGTACCTATTCTTCTAATATTTCCTGCTAGATTTTACGATTTTATTGATTTCTGCCGCGTGTATGGCGGCATTGGACCGTTAAGGGTTAAATTAACAGGGATTAAATAAGCACCGTTGTGGGCGTCCAAAAAAGCCGAATGAAAGAGAAGAGAAGACAATTGTACGAAAAATCAAACGAGATCCTTTTACTTCTGGATCGCAATTGGCATCAATGGTGGCTACGCAGTTCCAGGAATAAGTGCATCCAGAATTGTGTCGCCGATTATTAAGAAATAATGGTTTACATGCACGAGTTCCAAGAAGAATGCACACGTTCGTAGATCATCGTGGACCCGGACCGAAGGCGACGCGAATCCCGAGTTTTCATCGTAATACAAGCCACACACGCATTTTTTACAGAAACGCGGCCCGGTCGTCCAGTTGGCGCCGAAACCATTGATTAAAGTCCGGCGCCGACCCATTTTTCTCCGCTCCTCCTCCCCACCTCTTTCCATTTCGCCCCCTTTCACCCAGTATATTTCTCTCTTCTCCCACTGTCCCGCCGGTTTTCCCGCGATCTCGATTATTCGGCGTCCTCCACGCGTATGCGGCCAACTTTTTGGCAACGGGACGCGACCGCGTTACCACCGACCCGATTGGGAATCACCGACACCCAGCACTCGCATGATCTACAAACCGACGATGCCTTCGCGAAGCTCCGCGAGTTTCGCCTCCGCGCGATCGTTGCCCTCGGCCAACTACCACCCTCGCGATAAAACATGCTTTGCCACGATATCCTCGACAAAGATTCTTTCGCACGATCTCTCGATTGTGCATATCTTGTCGTCGATCCGACCGAGTGTCGCGGAAAATTGCTGACGCTCTGGGACACGATCTCTCCAATCTTTGTTGTTTGTTATTCAACAATTTGTTATCTGTTTACACGATCTAATATTTGCTAAGATATACGTATACGTCAACAATTACTGTGTTTATTTGTATATTTATTATTTATTATCACTGTTTTCATCAATCTTATTTATTTGTCCGAAATTTTTGTCGGAAAGCTAGATTTGACGATCGATTAGGACATTTCACCTGCAATTTCGAAGCATTTTCACGTCATAAAGGGAACGACCGTTGACCATTTACCGACTGGATTTTTCAGCATTCTAGCCAATTATGTATATCGATCATGGGCGCACGCTGGGTCGACCGCAGAATCATGAATGGTTTATAGAGGCCATAAACATCGGTGTTTCATTATTCTTGTTGCATCGTTGCCGACGCTCCGAAAAACAACGCACGCACGGAAACCGCGACCGTTCGAAGACAAACTCGATGATATATTCTACTTGCGAGCGGGAAATATGAAATGTAAATACGGTACTATAATGTTACGGGAAACGAACCGTGGGAGGACGGTACGGAGGGAGAAGAGGGGAGCGCGGAGAGAGAGAGCGGGAGAGCGAGAGAAAGACCGAGAGCGACAGCGAGAGAGATAGAGCGCGAGAGCGAAAGCGAGAGGAGAGAAAGAGAGCGCGAGAGCGAAAGCGAGAGAGAGAGAAAGAGAGCGAGAACGAGAGAGAGAGAGAGAGAGAGAGCGAAAGCGAGAGCGAGAGAGCGCGAGAACGAGAGAGAGAGAGAGAGAGCGAGAGAGAGAGCGAGAGAGAGAGAACGAGAGAGCAAAAGCGAGAGCGAGAGAGCGCGAGAACGAGAGAGAGAGCGAGAGAGAGAGCGAGAAAGCGAGAGAGAGAGAGCGAGAGAGAGAGCGAGAGAGAGAGCGAGAGAGCGAAAGCGAGAGAGCGCGAGAACGAGAGAGAGCGGGGGGGGGAGAGAGAGAGAGAGAGAGCGAGAAAGCGAGAAAAAGAGCGCGAAAGCGAGAGAGCGAGAGAGAGAGAGAGAGAGAGAGAGAGAGAGAGAGGCGGGAGGGTCTGATGGCCGCGTGTTTGCGCGGGCATTTCGCTCGCGTCCGCCCGGACCAAGTCCCGGAATCGAAATTTATATTGTGTCGGGCAGCTTCGGTTGCGATTGATTAACGTATCACGTGCATCATGCGCCCGGCTATCCATTACATGCGCAAGCTGATACGGACCCGCGACGACGACTGACCGTAAACGCGCCTGTATTGTGAGAGCCAAGCTAGTTCAACAATTATCGCTATACGCTCGATTTCTTGAGATACATGTGAGCCGAGGATACGTCACTTAGGCGATCCCGTTGTTTGACTGCTAATAAACACTTAAACGATGACGTCGGTGTGACATCAGATTTTAAATCAGTTACCTGTGGCTCACGCATTGACCGACTAAAATTTTGTAGACTTTTGTCGGCACTTTTCTCGATCTGTTCGCTAGTATTTACCAATACTTAAGAAAATCGAGACTTACAATTTCAATAACCTTTTAATGCATTGGAAACGTGACTCTTCTTCCGGTACATTTGATAAGATCCAACTCAATCCAAATTCATTCCTGATTAAATTTAATTTGGAAGGACAAATTTTTTAATCGATTCTATGAAACTCTGTGATCGTTTCTGTAAACGTTTATCGAGAAATTTAACGAAGCAGCACTGTAGCTATTCCGTTAAAAAGTGTGTTGTATTTTTATAGTCAAGTTTCGTACAGATAACTTTCGAAGAAATCAACTCAATCGTAACTCGTTCTCGATTCAATTCAATTCTGATCAAACTGAAGCTAGCTCGAATTTTTAGGAGCGAGAATGCAGCTGTGCATTAATTTGTGTAAATATTTATTTAATGTTTCTCGATGCAGTGTATTCGTTCAATTAAAAAATATGTTGTTTTCTGTAACGAGGTTTGCATGCAGTTAAAAATAATAATAATTCGAAACTTGCAATTATGCATTTGCAACATACTTGGAACTTAATAACTCAAAATGAACATTGAACAATGGTTTGAAATATTGGCACAAAATTTCTATTTCGACACAAAATAATAGTCAACATTTTCGAAATATTCTACAAAGGAAGATGCTACCTTAAAAAGTGACCCGTCCAATTATTTATGAACAACATTTAATAATAACTTCTTTAGACATTCGATCGAAAATATTTTTCCATCCGAGTTCAATTCTGACAATGAGTTGCCGATAAATTCTGGTATCGATAGGATCGTGTTAATTTTCTTTGATAGAAACAGCTTCGACGAAATCCGCATGAATGATTTCATATCGTCGCGTGAAAGGAAGATAAACAAATTCTGGCACGTGAACCGTCGAAGAAAACGAAGAACCGATTTCCACCGCATAACCGTTCACCGCGCCGCAGGCTCGAAATCGGTGTTCGCATTTTTTGTGTTTTATCGGTGTCGATTTCGAACTACACGAGCTAACGAATATAATTAATGGATCCTCCAGCGTGGAAGTGATTCCGTGATCGCCAGGGATCGTTCCGCTGTTTGCCCCGCGATTTGTTTGGCGAACGTAAAATAAATAATTAACGGACGCAATGAAACGGTAAAAGCATGAAATCGAATCAATCGTTTTTCGATATATGTTTCGTTCGCTGGAGAACGTTTCGTGGTCGACGGTCGTTGCGAAACTATTCTTGTCGTCGACGTAATCGTCACGGATCTCGATCGATCAGCGAGAAGCAGGTTCCGAGATAAGATGAGTCACCTAACGAAGAAAGTCGCGATAGCATCGGCCGAAATATGCGCAAGTTGTGAAAACAATTTCCTGCTGATCTTCTAAATGATTTCCGATGGAATTGATCTTTCAAGATCGTTAACATACGCAAATTACGATAGAACGATTTTTCTATGTTTTTTTAATGTTGCGAAACAAATTTTGGCAACATTCGGGTTTATATAAAGCAATCTGCGAGAGTAGGAATTTGCATGAAGGCCTGCGGTCATTAATTGAATGGAAACCACTAATGAGGGTCTATGTCATATTTAAAGTACATGCAACGCGGACCCTTATTCGAGGGACAGAGTATTAATTCATGTACAATACAGTGTAATTATAATTATAAACAGATATTTATACAACAGCATATTGATTACATGAATTGGAATTAACTCGCAACTGATATCAATTTCGTGGAATTATGTATTCTAAAAATACGTAACAGATGCAGTTTTGTCACTTATCACAATCGTTTCGTTAGGATAACGAAAGAGCAAACGTTCGGATCAGGAAGTATATACAGTAATGTCTCTCTAATTGACGCCCAGATTGACAACAGAAATGGACAATTCGGGAAGAGAAGATACGATTATCCGAGCCTTGCGGTTTATTTTTATAGTTATGAATTGTCCGCAATTATATAAAAACGAGCCGCAAGGCTCGAATAATCGTATCTCCTCTTCCCAAATTATCCAATTTAGTGGACAATCTGAGCGTCAGTAAGGGAGACATTACTGTACCGTCCACATAAAAAATGGCACAGATCTCGGCAGTGGCGGATATCAGGTAGCGGGGGGGGGGATAGATCCCGACAAGTTTCTCCGTGCCATAATTTCGCGGACGAGTACTTTTATCACCGACAAGGCACCGCTCATCACAATTATCTTCAGTACCCAGTTATCTACGGATATTTTAATAAAATTAACTATCACACAAATTTTGTGATACGATCGCAACGAAATAACTCTTCTAATTTAATATATTAGCCCACAGAACGAAATGCTGCAAAGATCCTTCAGTTATCCAGCATATTATCAACACAGAAATATGTCAGCATTTCGCGCAACAATGTGATCGGTCTTAGAAAGGAGCAGGAAATGGTAATCCACTTATCTTCGCGTGCGGCAAACAGGGGCCGATAAGGGTATTATTGTCGAACGATTACCTTGGAACAATCGATAAGGTGCGTTTTAATGAACTCGTCCCTCTTTTTCTTGCAGAAATCGCTTATCGGTCGCAGTCTACGCTCGACCAGCACTTTGGAATCAATTGTGTCCCCATTGCGGATTAGTTTGGACCAACATTAACCTGTGACGTTTCCGGAACCTAGGGGTTTAGATAATCGAAGTAAATCGTTGCCGAAATCGTTGCTGTTATCGGAGTAACCACAGCACATTGCGGAGATGAAAACGAACGCTCCGTATCCAACATCACCTCCAGCGTACTCGGAGACAATGATGACTTCGCCACAGCCTCCGCCTCCGCCTGTGCCTCCACCGATGCCACCATATCAGTATCCGCCGCAGCATCAGCCTGAACCATTATCGCACATCTATAATCCTTCGTATCCCCCGTCACCATGGATTCCTCAACAACCGATTATAAATCCGGAAACCAGTTTTATAGAAACACCGACGGCACATAATCCCAGTTATCAATACAACCCCACAGTAGTACACGTGGTAGCCGATGTAGACCATTCTGAGAGATTGAGAAAGCATCAAGGTGGGTTTCAACAGTTTTACATGTTCCAAATGTTCGAGCAAGTTCTTTGAGAAGAAATTATTTGAGAAATCTTTCTGACACTTTCGCGGACTAGCGAACATTTAGTGAAGCATATGTTGAAATGTTAAGGTGTAGATGTTGAATACAGTAAATTCTTCCGAATTTTCCTTTAGCTTGTAAACAAAAATAGACAATTTAGGGGATTAGGAGATACGATTATTCGAGCCTTGCACCCCGTTTTTATAACTGTTGACAATCGGTAATCATAAAAATGAGCCACGAGGCTCGAGTAATCGCATCTCCTCTTTCCAAATTCTCCATTTTTGTGCACAATCTGAGCGTCGATTAGGGAGAATTTACTGTAATTAAACGTTTCTCCTCTCTTTCCAAATTGTCCATTTCTGTTTACAAGCTGAAGGAAAATTGGGCAGAATTTAATGTACTCCGTCTCTTCGTCTCGATATCAGTGACGACTGTATATATATATATAATAATCTAAAACGTTCCATAGAAGAATTTCTCAAACCGTTACATAGTATAAGAATGAATAACAATTAATATCTTTCTTTCAGGATGTTGCGTCTCGTGCATCTCTCTCCTCATTTTTCTAATTATAGCAGCCGTTATGATTACGTTTGTGGTGAAAATTCACGAAGCGACATCACGATCGTTCCATGAACGTTCCTAGGACTAGTTTTTTTTATAATTGTATGTTGAGTATGCAAGAAAGACAAAAAATATGTCCGCAACAATGTAAATTATTGATTACGTGTAAATATGAAGAAATATAACAAACTTTTGTAATGAAACAGGAACACGTGTGCAATGATTTGACACAATTTCTTTATACTTCCATAAGATCCATTTATACCGAGCAATACTATTCACTCGCAATTTCGGCCTTAGATTTTAGATCTCAATCTAAATGCAATTTCTGACTCTAGATAAACTGGAAAACAAACTTCATGTCAGAGATCGCAGATAAGCAATCATATCTACCATAGATAAAAACTGTATTTATGACTGTACTTATGTCTTAAAATGTAATCTATACACGCCAAAATGTTAAAAAGAAAAACAAGTGAAACAAATTATAAAGTTGCTATAAGTTCGCTTGACTCTAAATTATCTTAACAGTAAATTTGGTCAATAAAAACCATACACCAGTTGGTAAACAATAACACTACTATTTCACAATTAGGAATACAGGACTTACGCTACTGTGAACCTAATCCCCTTAATTTGTCCATGATTGTGTTACGATATTCGTATGTTGTGAAATGCAAATATCGTTATCTTTCACCAGGACACAGAAATTCCCTGTTTACATATGTCGTTGTGCAGCGTATTAACGCGATAACGCGCGAAACAGTGTTATCGTGAAGTGTTATCGTTGCAGCGTTCCACGGCACTCGGATCTTAAATTATTAGCTCGGTTACTTATATCATTCGGTATAAAAGCCGTCGATATCGCGCCTCCCCCGTCCTCCTTATGGCTCGCAATGCGTGCGCGAGGTGTCAACGGTCCAAGAAACACGGTCGTTACTTCTGCTATTGTCGCAACGTGTCGGCCGGGCGTCTTTAGCCGTTCGGGCCGGCCTATTTATCACGGTTTTCAGTTACGCGGATTCCGCGTTTTGATCTGCGACGATTCCGAGGGCCGGTTAACGCGGCACCCACCACTCGAGATTCGCGTTACACCGTCGCGTAAGCTCCGTTACGACGGTTTTTTATGCGAGCCAGTGACGGCTATACGATTCGCCCTTAACACGAATCGTTCGCAGAGGCTCTAGATTTTTATCGGCGCCGCTCTCCGTGAAGCTGTTTACGAGTCTCTGAATTCCTCGAGACATATGTCCCGATGTGAAAACGCGAACAGGCTGTTAACTCCTCCCCTCCCCCTTCTCCCAGAGACGTCGCGATTCCCGCGTTTAATTCGGTGCTCGTAAAGCTCGTTACGATATCGTGATACGATCGGAAACGAGCTCTTTAATTTTTGGGGACGTTGGTTTCGTAGTCGATTCCGTTTAGAGTGATGAGTAAACTGCGGATTTTATGTGTTCAGCACAGAAATGGGCGTGCACAATTTCAAATGCTAGACGCGTTCGAAACGATCGAGGAATATTGATATACATACTGCTTCAAATTTGCTAAATCTATCATCTCAAAATTATAAATATAATTGCAGAAATAACTATTTCATAAATTATTACTTTTAGTAGAGTTTTAAGTAGCTGCACTAATCGTTTGCTTGAGCTACGATCTTGCTCGCAGCTACGTCGATTAGCACTTCTTTGTCTAATAATTAGACTGCGGATTTCAAGCGTTCATGGCAAAGAAATGAGCAGGCGTAATTTCAGATGCTAGACGCGTTCGAAACGATCGAGGAATATTGATATACATACTGCTTCAAATTAGTTAAATCTATCATCTCAAAATTATAAATGTAATTGCAAAAATAACTACTTCATAAATTATTACTTTTGGTAGAGTTTTAAGTAGCTGCACTAATCGTTTGCTTGAGCTACGATCTTGCTCGCAGCTACGTCGACTAGCACTTCTTTGTCTAACAATTAGACTGCGGATTTCAAGCGTTCATGGCAAAGAAATGAGCAGGCGTAATTTCAAACAGCGAAAAGTTTAGAAGAAACCAAGCGTTTTGTTGTGCTAATTTGGACTTATCAAGATTATTAAAAAGGACAATCCGCAGTCTACATACGCAGTCCGCTAAGAAAATCTCAATATCTCGCTGGAATAGTTCTATATTCAATCGTGCAACTCCGTACCGCACCGATCAAGTAGACATTTCGAGTGCAGCGAAAGCAGACGAAGGCGTAGCCATTCAAGGCCGGCCGAAAACGATTTATCATCGGTAATGGCGCAACGCGTTCCCGGCCCGGAGACGGCGCGAGATCGTCGAAAGTTGCCGCGTCTTTGTTCTTTCCCGTCGCGAAAGAGCTTACTCGTAAGTTTTCCGCGGGTTCCTCCCCCCCGATGAAAATCGATCCCCGTCGCCGACGGAACGGCTGAGCAAAGTGCGGAGGACGTATTGTCGAACGCTCGAGGAATACGGGAGTTGTCGTTAGTCCCGCGGTAACGTCGTCGAATCGACGGGATCGGGAATAGATATCGGATTCGACGTTCTGAGTAACGGGGGCTGCCTCTCGTCGAGGCCCGAGACGTCTTTCCCCTGCACTTTAGCCGGCTGAAAAAAAGAATGCCGGCCGCGATGCGCTTCCTCATTGTCAGCCGCCAAAGTAGCACTCTGCGCGAGCACGCGGGGAATAGTGTTCGAGCATCTTGAAGAACGGTGGAACTTTTATTACGCGCTGTTCGATTTTATGGCTTTGCTATTTGTTGATAACTGCATCGCCGATTTTTATGCAAATACATATTCGATAGTCTGATTGATGAAAAGAAGAATGGACGTAAGATGCCGTCTGGAAAAGGAAGCTTCCACATCGGTGTTCTGATTGCAATTATGTATTATGACTAGACTCCGGATTTTATGCACTTCATGCAAAACGGTAAAAGCATTACTATTATATTCGATCGATTGAACTGATTTTACAGAATTTTGATACTGCATAAAGATCCGCAGTCTATTTATCACTGTAGAAATGCTTGATAATTGAATGAAGCACACGCATAAGCTACTTTCAAATAATCTTGTCGATTAACAAGAGAATCGTAGAAATAGCATATATTACTGATAAGATATTAATTGAATTGGCGTGAATTTAGTGATCTTCCAATTTAATGGAATAACGATAAATTCGAATCTTTTAGTGACTATTTGTAAACTGTGGTCTTGATGCATTTATGATAAAAATGCATCAAAGATAAAATGCAGAACGATAGAAACATTTAAAGGATATCAATGTACTTTTGTCTTAGTCTCAAATTGTTAACATTGTTTAACGAAGAAGTACATTTGTATTTAGCTCTTGTTTCCTGCAATTAATGTAGACGAATTTTACTTTTAATCTAAATCCGCGATCTAATAATGGCGAATTGTAACGAGCATTGAAAATGAAACGTAATAATGCAATTAATAGAATATAATCATTGATTATTCATTGGACTATTACGCACGATGAAATCACGAATTTATTCAGCTACGACAATCTATAATCCGTAGACTGCAACTATTATGTATTTACAATATCCAAAATAACGGACGAGATATAAAATATCGTGTCGGTTGGTGAAGCTTTTATATTTGATATCATTTGATATCAGTATTATAATTACGACAAAATGAAGAATCGTAGGACATGTATAACTAAATTGCGGATCTTTATGCAAACTAATAATAATCGTTTATAACAACCGTCAAGAACAGAAACGAAATAAACATGCAATTTCTCTTTAAATAATTTTAATAAGTCGAAAATATATATAGTGCAACAATATTCGTGAATTCCTCTAACGTCGACACGCTTTCGTATCTCAACTGTTCATGTTTATCCTAATCGCATAAAATCCTTGTGGATTTTATAATTAGATTATTCTAATTATAATACAACGAAGGAGATGCATTAACGTCGCGTGCACTAGATGATCGAACGAAATTGTACAGCACAGATGGAACGATTTCTTGCTCGTATCGCCGTAAAAATCATTCTTCGCGTCTTTTTGCGCATCGAGATCTAAGCTTCCAGGTGCGTACGATATGGACGCGGACCTCACGTTCTTGCGCGACCTTTTTCCGATAATTAATGTCCGCCGGTGCACCCTGCGGAACGTGGATCGAGGACAAATGCCGAGGAGGAACGGGTGCAGGCGGCCAGATTAATGATAGTTTTACCTGCCAGCATTGTAAGAACGATGGATTTGACGCTATCGCCGGTGCTAAGGATGCCAGAGAGGAAAGAAGCGAAATTTATTAGCGGCCTGGGAAGCTGCCCTGGGAATCGGGTTTAATATTCGATTCTTTGCTACCACCGTTCAAAATGAATTCCCGTGAAAATTACGGTTCCAGCTGAAAACCGCCGAGTTAAATCCGTAACCCTAACTGAAATCGGCGTGATTTTAAACGTAAAGATATCGTCTTGTTTTATCTCATCGGTAGAATGTAATTTTCATGCTCTTACGCGAAACAGTAAAACTATTTCACTAACGTTATCAACTAATAATATCGCTATCTACCGATAACGCTATCAGAAACAAATGTTTACGTAGATTCTGTAGTTCGCAATTAACTGTGAGAATTTTCATTCTGCTATAAAAATCCGCAGTCTACTTATCAGCGTAGAATTCATTGTAAAAGAATGAAATATTTGGATAAGCTATTTTCGAATAATATTGTGTGTATACATTTATATTCATTTTTATTCATGCTATGATAGAAAGTCAATTCGATTTTAATTGGGCGGAAGTCTTTCAGACATAATTCAGTGATTCATTAATTTTTAATTTAGGATAGTGATGAATTTTCCAGTGGCTATTTGTAGACTGCGGATTTGATGTATTTATAATGAAAGTGAATGAATGAAAATTTCAACAGTGGAAGGATTAAATTATTAAAGAAGGAATGAAATTTCTACGTGACACAAACTTCTTACAAACAATGCTATATGTAAAAGATCTTTTCAAAATATTTGCGTTTGATTTTAGACACCGTAAGCGTTTTAGGAAGCGCAGTCATATTTTTGTAAATTATATTATTTCACATAATGCATACAGGGCGTCCCAAAAATATCTCGCGATCCGAAAGTAGGGGATTCCTGAAGTGATTTGAAGCAACTTCTTCTTTAGCGAAAATGCAATCCGCGGCTTCGTTTACGAGTTATCAACGAAAAACAGTGACCAA